GGGGGGGGGGGGGGGGAGAGAGAGAGAGAGAGAGAGAGAGAGAGAGAGAGATCAAAGATTCAGTCCGGACAGCAGGAGAAATCAGGAGGAAACTTGTATTGGCTGCAGGTCAAACTGCATTAGGTATGAGCAGGCAGCAAGTCCCGATAAATCAGGAGGATGCAGCATGATAACAGAATTGTGAATGTTGGAATGCACGACTCAATTTAGACAAAAAAGAAGTGTGTGTGTGTGTGTGTGTGTGTGTGTGTGTGTATGTGCATGTGTGTTGTCTTTGCTCACTGGTGGTCGTGTTTCCTCTGTAGCTTGGCCAGTTCTCTCTGTTTCTCTTTGTATCGGCGCTGTAGCTCAGCCAGCTGGACACGCATGGCTAGCTCCTCCCCTCCCATCGTCTCCATGGAGCCCTTCACTGGGCACACCTGACACACACACACACACACACACACACACACACGCACGCACACACACACACACATACACAAAGCAGGGGAATTTCAATGCTGAACACACACTGAGTTCAACAGTCTTTGGATATGTGAGGAAGCCAGCTTGTGTTTGGGCAGCTTCGTGATTGAATGGATTTTCCTGTAACCAGAACTTTGGACACTGCGGCAATTTATGTATGACGGACATTTATGCTTAAAGGCAAGGATTTCTGGGAGATCGACCTGGTGCTGCGTGTAAAACTATTGCACACATGATGATGGATAACGAGCAATAAACAAGACGAAACAGGGACTTAACCTTTTACTGATTTTAAGGTTTTTAGAAATTGCTCTCTGATGAATTGCAGAATCATTTATATAAAAAAGGTACATTTTAAATTCTAAAAATCAAATAACACAAAATATATCTATCATATTTGTTGTAGCCAGCTTCATTTCTGGGACTATTTAAAGAAGAGTGAAAAATAATGACGCACCCGTGTTTATAGACTGACATCAATTTCACTTATAATTGAATCATAAAAAATATTTCTGGCTAGCTAAAATCCCATTTAGTCAAAATGTCTACTTACCAACAGCAAGATTCAACCACACAAAAAACAAGATTATTTCTCATGTCACTTAAAAGCTACAACGGGTATTTCATTACTGCTGAGTTACTGCTATTTGTCTGCTATTTGTCTGACTCCATTATTACTCAACACACTTAAACGTACACTACAGTGCTTGCATGGTTGATTTTGATGCCCATGTTTGCCTCACTGAGGATGAAGTGCTTTGAACACTTGTTCAGTTGCTTTGAATAAAAGCATTGAGATAAAACAAAAAAAAGACAACCTACTTCCATTATCATCTTTGGGTTTCAACAGTTTAGTAAAAAAACAAACAAATGAGGTGTGTTTCCATTGTTCAACACTTCCCCACATTTTCAGCATGAATGATTTATGTTAACATGCATAAACACACAGTATGCATTCGGTAAAGCCTCACCGGCTCGTGACGAGGAGTCCAGCTGCACTTCCTGCGCAGGTTGAGCCTCTTCCTTATTGGACACTGCTGGTCCGCCCCCAAACCCACAACCCCTCCCCCCATCTCCAGGGCACGGGCGGCCGCCAGCGTCGCCAGACTGTGGAGGTCAAAGGTCAGCATGTCCTCACCTGCACGGAGACGGATTGTTTCGGTTTAGATTGGTACATCACGCGGCAGCTGACACAGCGTTATGAAACACGCTGTGCGCTGAGCGGATTTATTTCTGGAACGATGAAACCGTGCCTTGAAAAGTGGTGATATTTATGATATTAGCTGTGTAGTTTATTTGATGTATACTGGTGTTCCTGCTTCATCGTACACACAGACAACAAACACAAACACACACACACACACACACACACAAGGGGGAGCGGTAGAAAACGATCTCTACATCTGTCACTGTCATTAACTCTGTCATTGTCACAGCATCAGCAGATGAAACAGAATATTCATGAGACGGTCCACACACACACACCTATGCAAAAAAAACACACTCATTCTGATCACACACTTGCACCTACAACATTTTCGCTGAGCTGCGCAGACATGGGCAAACTGCACGAGTGTGTGAGGGAGGATTAGAGAGAAGGAGAACGACGGGCAGCAAGGAGGAGGAGAAGGAGGAGGAGGAGTGCAACGCAGTGAGAAGAAGGGAGGGGATGGGGAGTAAAGGGGAGGAGAAGCAATAAGAGGCAAAGTGTTTATTGAGCTATCTATTTATTCTCCTACATCTCCTCATTATGGACATGGACAGAATCCAATTTCCCCTTCGAGGAGAGGAGATGAGAGGAGAGGAGAGGAGAGGAGAGGAGATGAGATGAGAGGAGAGGAGAGGAGATGAGAGGAGAGGAGAGGAGAGGAGATGAGAGGAGAGGAGAGGAGAGGAGATGAGATGAGATGAGATGAGATGAGATGAGAGGAGAGGAGAGGAGAGGAGAGGAGAGGTTTTTCTGGATCACTCTCAGTCTGTGCACTAGAGCAGCAAGACCTATCCACTGACATCTGATGTTATTAAAAACCTGTGTGTGTGTGTGTGTGTGTGAGGGAGATGGAGATAGAAATGCGGTAAACAGAGGAGGAAGAAGAAGGCAGGAAGGAAGGATGGAGTCTTCTGTGAAGCTGGATTTTTGAAAAACGAGAGCGCGGACGGTAGAACAAACGGATGTGAGACCGACAGGTAACTGCTCAGAGAGAGAGAGAGAGAGAGAGAGAGAGAGAGAGAGAGAGAGAGAGAGAGATAGTGAGCAAGAAGGAGCTGAGAGACGTGGCTTTGTCCTGTCCCGGCTCGCAGAGGTCAATGTCATCTCATCTGTCAGACCTCTGAGCCAATGGCACGCTCCGATTACCCTGACAGGATGACATCACCGCTGACATCACCACGCCTAGTTTGGTATCCTGGGAGATGGCCACAATCGATAGATACCTTCCGCCCACAGTATACCACACACACACACACACACACACACACACACACACACACACACACAC